CACTTCTCTGTGTTGTTTGCCTGACTTTATTCAAAGTCCTCTCATGGTATTTAAAGTGGTTCTTTAACTTATATATTTATTAACTATATGCTCTCAGACTTGTAACTGATCCTGGCTGTATTACTGCTGATTATAAGGTCAGCTGATAGGGAAAAGCTAACGAGGACAATATTTAGAATAATTAGACTGGTATGTAATATGTAGTCTGCTTATCTAATAGCATGACATCTCAGCTTACCCTGAGAATTAGGTTATTTCTATTACATTGCTGTCACTTTTTATAAGCTTTTATTAAGTTTGCTTTTTTCCTTTTCCTGTTGTTTATTGCAAAATGTCTATATTGTGGTTTGTAGACCTGGCCAGTCTGTTGACACCACATATTTGCACTTGTCAATCTTGCTTCTTATTTTTAATTCTCTGTCTTCTTCTTATTCTCCTCCTCCTTTTCTTCTTCTTGTTCTTGTTCTTCTTTTTCTTCGTCTTTTCCTTCTTCTTCTTCTTAACATTCACAGGCTGTAAAAGCCAACGGAAAGTTCTGATTATTTGTCCACTTCTAGGTTTTGTCTTATGGTCTTGCTTCAGAACTTGAGGTTTGTGTGCACATCATTTTTACAGATCTGGCTTATTGGTTTGCAGACTGTTAGCTTGGATGAGATGTCTTAGGAGAGCTGCCGGTGTGACAAGAAGAGATAAAATCAGGAATGAAGTAATTAGATATAGATGTCCGAAACCAGTCATACAGTTCACTAAAGAACAACAAATAAGATGGTTTAGCCACCTGACGAGAATGCCCTGGTACCAACTGCCACAGAGAGCCCCGCTGAAGGAATATAATGAATACAGTGCAAAGGGAAGACCATGCAAGAGATGGAGCGACACCATCAGGAGCAACGTAACGAAATGAACACTAACTTGTACAATGCACAAACAAACCTTACATCTCCCCCTAACGCATCACTGAGGTAAATGGTGAAAAAGAAGAAGAAAAAAAGAAGAAAAAAAGAGACTGTTAGCTCCTTGTCTCTCATGCATATGTACTCTGACTTTGAATTCAAGATCCCTAACCATTCACCGTGTACAACATACTTGTTAGTGGAACAAGAAGACAAGAAGCACCTCCTGCATGAAGCTCTAAGTAGTAATAATGATCAAAGACTGAAAAGAGGAAGGTCTTTGATGGTGCAAGCTGAAGACAGAATTAGACACATGTGCAGGTTTGATAGATTTGGGAGCAAGTAAAGGTTTTAGTCAAAAGTGTCTTAGCAAGAATCAGACTTGTGGGGATCTTCTTTTAGTTGGGAGTGCAGAGCTGGCCATCTGATGCTGTAGAATCAGAAGTTAAACAAATGATTCATGACAATTCCTGCCAATGTGATGTGATTATCTGTACAGATGGCTCTGTGTTCAGAGGCACACAAAGTGCATTGTAGTTCCTAGCAAAAGTGAATGGATGTCGCGTAGTGCAACAAAGCCTGGCATGTGTCATCACAGCATTTAGTTTGAGAATGGAGGTGGGGGCAGTCACTGCTGCTTTCGTGTGGCTTGAGAATCGGCTATACACACATGGCTTAATTGTAATTGACTTAAGGAGCATGTTGAGAAAGGTGGAGACAGGCATGCTCCATGCAGAGTGGCATACATTGCTTTAGAGGTCCTGCTTAGTTAGTGTCCTTTGGCTATTTTGTGCAGGTCATGCTGATGTGTTGGGAAATAAGCAGGTTCTGCACCACTTGGTGGTGAATTGATGTATGAGAACATAGATGTTGTTAGAGACCTTTGGGAGTTTTTGAACAGTGCGGAGGCACAAATAGATCATTAGGGTCTGCGACGAATGGTGCTGCGAGGAATTACCAGTGAATCTCTTTGACTCTAAATAGAAAGCCAGGATGAATTTACAATCAGACGGTTATGACATCATCGAAATTGAAACTCTTTGCTTGCTGATGAAGATGGGGACGGAATGCTTACGGGAGTGTCCCGAGTGCTGTGGTGTCGATTCTTTATTCAACATATGTTAGGGGGCAGTGGGTGTATCCCTCCCAACCCCAACTCCCGGGACCCTGGAACCTACACAGGAAATCATTAGATCATGTAAAATAATGGATGCTAATTAAAAAATGCATCCTTGCTGGGATCAAAATTGTGTTAATGTTAACAGAGTGTTCATCTTAAGCAAGTTCGTGTCAAGGCTTAACTGTATGCTCTAGGTACCCTTTACTTTTTACATCCTAAGGCATGAAAATGTGTCCTTAATGTTTTTTGAACTTTGAGGCTTGAGTGATTCAGTCTTTCAATGCCAAATATCTCCCTATGTGTTTATTATTCCACTCACATTACACATTTTTCTGCCTCCAAATGCTACACTTAGCCACACTGCTCCACTTGTTAATTTTAAATCTTCTCTCTCCTAGTGTTATTTTGACCCAGACATTGTTACTTAAAGTTAAAACTTAATGGCAAAGAATGGGTTCATTTATATCTATCGGGTGCTGAATTATTTTGGTCATATCAAGCGCCACGACAGATTGAAAAAAATTATAGCAGAAGGCATGGTACCAGGAAGGAGAGGCAGGGGCCGACCGACATGAAGGTGGGCACAGGATATAAGTGACTCCTTGAGTATGAAAGTACATGAGGTGGGAGAGCTGGGGAGAGACTGAGTTTCTTTCAGGAAGACTGTGATGAGAGCGACGTTCTGCAAAAGACCTGCTACATGATGATGATGACTGAATTAGTCAAGCCTTAAAGAATTGTTCAGACAATTCATTTCCCTATCACTGCATTCCTAATACAGGCCCTCTAATATAATCTGGAGCAGTGTTCTTCAAACAGTTTGGCCACGGACAAGTCCAGGTTGGCCACCAAAATATTTTGCCTAATCATATAAAAGGGGAGGGGGAGGTAGTTTTTTTCTCTTTCAGGATTGCTCTCTGTAGGATTGAACATCTCAGTGATGAGAATCAGAAAGGAACGAATCCCAGAAACCCTGTTCAACAGAAGAGAACAGTAATTATAAGGGACCTGACAGTTACGTAACCTGTAGTCGTCAGGCCTGGAGATAAGGACAGTTTCTCATGTAAGTAAAGGAAAAGACCGTTTTCCACGCCTTTAGGCATATTGGGCATATAGGGCTAGACCTATTTTGAATAGACCAGTTGGCACTTGGTGGGTGATGTGGTCAGCATCACGACAGCCGCCTTAACTTCCCAGAACTGCAGCTGGTTACACCCTCCCCCCTCCCAACAAGGCTGTGTTGACCTGGGAGCCAAGGTCAATTTTTAAAGAAGTTAGGATTTGAACCCATGCCCTTCCGATCCGCAGGTATCTAGCTGCTACACCACAACGACTTCCAGTTACTCATGTGGTGGCTGTATTATTACTGTGAATCTTTATTGACATCCTACATGTCAGTTTTGTTCTGTGCTTTATTCTCTGTCAGCTTGGCTGCGAAACAATTTCTTCTGTTTTGGTTGACTGCGTGTGTAGGAAGGTTGAGGAACACTGCTCGTATGTCACTGTGCTGTGACTGCGTGTGTAGGAAGGTTGAGGAACACTGCTCGTATGTCACTGTGCTGTGACTGCGTGTGTAGGAAGGTTGAGGAACACTGCTCGTATGCCAGTGTGCTGTGACTGCGTGTGTAGGAAGGTTGAGGAACACTGCTCGTATGTCAGTGTACTGTGACTGCTTGTGTAGGAAGGTTGAGGAACACTGCTATTATGTCAGTGTACTGTGACTGCTTGTGTAGAAAGGTTGAGGAACACTGCTCGTATGTCACTGTGCTGTGACTGCGTGTGTAGGAAGGTTGAGGAACACTGCTCGTATGTCAGTGTACTGTGACTGCTTGTGTAGAAAGGTTGAGGAACACTGCTCGTATGTCACTGTACTGTGACTGCGTGTGTAGGAAGGTTGAGGAACACTGCTCGTATGTCACTGTACTGTGACTGCGTGTGTAGGAAGGTTGAGGAACACTGCTCGTATGCCAGTGTACTGTGACTGCATGTGTAGGAAGGTTGAGGAACACTGCTCGTATGTCACTGTACCGTGACTGCGTGTGTAGGAAGGTTGAGGAACACTGCTCGTATGTCACTGTACTGTGACTGCGTGTGTAGGAAGGTTGAGGAACACTGCTCGTATGTCAGTGTACTGTGACTGCGTGTGTAGGAAGGTTGAGGAACATTGCTTGTATGTCAGTGTACTGTGACTGCTTGTGTAGGAAGGTTGAGGAACACTGCTCGTATGTCAGTGTACTGTAACTGCGTGTGTGGGAAGGTTGAGGAACACTGCTTGTATGTCACTGTAGTGTGACTGCGTGTGTAGGAAGGTTGAGGAACATTGCTTGTGTGTCAGTGTATTGTGACTGCTTGTGTAGGAAGGTTGAGGAACATTGCTTGTATGTCAGTGTACTGTGACTGCTTGTGTAGGAAGGTTGAGGAACACTGCTCGTATGTCACGGTACTGTGTACTAACTATGTCAGTTTAATGTTGACTGACAACACAATTAATATGTTGCTCTTTCTAGTCCACCTGCATCTTCTTTCTTTATGTTCAGACTGTTGGTGCAGATTTATTTAGATGAATGTCCATGTGTTAGCTGGACTCTCTGATGGCATTCGTGCTTTTTGCTTGATCCATCTGTTGAGTATTTATTGTTTGGGGCTCCACGCAAGACATTTCAGGGAATCCTTGATGTCGTTTACAAAACAAACTTCAGAATGCAATCCTTACTGTGTGGGTTCTAAAGCCCCATTTTGGCGCAAGTATGCCATAAAAGATGACTAATTAAGGATTTTTCATAAGTACATCTGCAGAGAGGCAGTCTGTACACAAGCAAGCCAGATCTATAAAACGAATGTACATGCTAAGCTCATTTTCTGGAACAAGACCAAAGTCTGGAAGTGGACAAACAACCAGAACTTCCGATCGCAGTTTACAGCCTGTGAACGCTAAGATGAAGAAGAAAATATGAACTGGGTATTACAGTGTTTGTTTTGTTTCACAGGAATGTTCAGATGGTGTGGATGACATTGATGAAGTCCTGTCCTCCACTTTGGGTGCTCTATATGGGCGAGCCACACCAGCAGTGGTGAAACAAGCCTGGGAGGTTCTAAGTGATAGCTATGGCAGCAATGTCAGCAGGTTCAAGTCAGAGTACCTCAATCCAGTCCTGGAGTTGCTGCACAAAGTACAGGAGGTCAGTCAATCTACAGTGGAGATTCTTGTCTCCTTTGTTGTCATTGTTGTTGTTCCCCTGTTTCTTCTCCTCTTCCACCTCTTCTTCTTCTATTCTAAAACTAAAAGATTGGAATGCATGAAGTGTAGATCCCCCCCACCCCCCAAAAAAAATGAGGTTGTAACAAACACCTTTATCTATGCACCCTCAAAATGTCTGCCTGCACATTGTAGTATGGTTTACAACTAATCTATTATGTCTGCGCATATTGGCCCAACACATTCAGTAGCAGCAAATCTGTAATTATGACGTGTGTTAAGAGGTACTGGTCTGTTCACCCCTCCACCACGCTCCCAGATGCAGTTCTTCGTTCAGGGACAACAGCAAACAAGAATTATGGTTTTTGCAATAATCGTTTATTATTGAAATACATCAACTTGCTTGCATTCTTACTGGAATTCTAAACTGAAATAAAGATGTTAACTGTAGGTCTACATTGCCAGGAAAAACCTTAATATATTCCAAAATATGCCAGTTCATTATCTTATACCAGTTAAATTTCAGTTATGCCAAATTTGTGGAGTCTGGCATCAAAAATGCCAATATGGCAACCCTGGACAGCATTAAACTGACTGACTGAATTTCTACCCCACCAGGACATCACACAAGCGATAAACACCCGATGACACAATGTGCCACCATGTGGTTGAGAATCGCCGTGTAGGTCCCAGAAACCGCGTTCAGACAATTGGCCATATTTATGGCCTGTCTATATTGCGGCCCCTGGAAAAAGCCAGGGTGGGGCTTCACATAACAAAAATTTCATCCTAAAAAGGACGAAACTGGATTAATATGGACAGCATTGCAGATATACTTATTTTCTTTCAAGCGAACGAAAAAAAATTGAAGTAGTGGAGGGGGAAATGGGAGGGAGTGGAGTCTCAAAGGGCCTGAACTTGTAGGTAGGTTCTGGCACTAATGAACGAGAAAGCCACACAGGAAAATGTCCGTTTATCAAAGGTGATGTCAGAGAAGACTTAACCACCCCCCTCCCCCCTAACCACTCCCCCCCCCCCCCCCGTCTTTCTCGCATCGTTTGTTAGAACATTGGTTGTCTCCCGGCGCAATAGATTAGAGGTTACGTCGTTCGCCTGTCTCCCTTATATTTGTCTCGCCGTATTGACTGTTGGCATTTTTTGTTGTTGGTTTGTTAATGGAATACGAACCTCATGGCAGACTATCATCTGGTTCTGGGTTAGTGGATCAGGCATCCTTGGCTTTTTCTGCGTTGGCACTTAATGCTTCGCACGTTTACAGATAGGCTGTGATAGCTGCGCTTTTGACACAAAGCATCCACTTTTGAAGAATGTTTATTTACGAATACTAATGGAAGATACGATGTTAGTTAGATGGGATAAGATGAGTAAGATCGTGTATATTTGGAATTAGATGTAGATCCGGCAAGAAAGGACCGGCAAGAAAGGACGAATTGGATAATCGCTGTTGCAACTTCGTAGCTAGCGGGTTACTCCATAGGTTAACTCGTCGATGGCAGCAATAATTTAAACAGATCAGTAACTGCACACACAATCAGTCACACAAGGCACCACCAGTTCACTGACAAGAGACCACACGCCATTTTCTAAATCTGCAGAACGTAGTGGAAAACCATTTCAAATGATATTCACAGCTCACAGTGTCGCAACATGCACTCATCTCAGCTGGGCGATTGAACTATATCCTTTAAGTATACATATGAGGAAAGGCAACGGCTACTATTGTCAGAAGCATAAACTTGCCACGGCTAAAACAGTAAGCCCACTCCATCCACCATATTGACCTTCATGTGTGTTTTCTACTCGTATAAGAGGATTACGATGCGTGTGCAGCCAGTGTGCTACTGGAACAGTCAGCTTCTACATCTCAAGACATTTGCTACATCTGTGGGTTGTCCGGTATACTGGATGTCGATTCCCAAATCAGTAATTAGCCACCGGTATACCACAGCGCTGCCTCTGTTATATGTTCTGGGATACACTGTATTTTAACCTAAAAATAAGTGAATCAAAATTGATCGGTACGTAAGGAGTGCTTGTCTGCAGCCTGTATCGCCGCATGGCTTCCAAGATTATGTACAAATACAGCTAATCAACCATGTCTGGTACAACACAGCGAGGCTTCTGTCTCCCGGTTTATTGACTTCGTTTGTCACTGGCGACAGCCTAGGTTCAGATCTAGCAGGTGACTCATGACCTTGGGATCAGGCAACCCGGCGGCGGAATTTCTGACATTATGTTATGTAGCTGCTGCTGTTGAGAGTAGCCAGCAACACTTTGGTGACAGCGCGAGGTGTTTGATTTTGCGACACGACATAATTACTAGGGAAGGTGGAATGGCCGGGGTAATATTTTAACAGTCAGCATCTCCCCATGTTGGTTCCGGAACCATACCTGCGGAGAAAAGAGAGAGGGGGGGGGGGGGGGGGGTCACTGCCTGCTAAAAAGCTTGTCGTAAAAGTATACTAAGAGAAGCGAGAACCCAATAGTCTGCAAAAAAAAAAAAAAAAAAAAAAGCCAGATATGTAAAACTGCTCTGTACGCAAAAGTCAGATTTTGGAACAAGACAGAGTCTAGTATGAATGCGAAGAAGACGAGTCATCCGTATGTGCTGTGTTGCCCCTGTGATCTGTCTCCACCTTGTTGTGGCAGAGTTCTAATAACGTCCAAGAGCTATTCCAAAAGTAGCTAGGATCTTCGTTGTCGCCCTAATGGTGTCATATATCCAGTCATCTCCTTGTGTGATGCCATTTTTCGCTTTTTTGTGAAGTCCTACTCTGGCTCTTGCCAGGGGCCGCAATATAGCCCGGCCATACATATGGTCTATGGCTACACGCGGTTTCTGGGACCTCTCCACGGGTGATCCTCATCCACGTGGTGGCACTTTGTGTCATCGGGTGTTAAACTCTTGTGTGATGTCCTGGTGGGGTAAAAGAAGATAGATAAATAGGTTATCGCCCAGGCTAGGAATAGAGGCCGGACGAAAAGGGACACAAATCTGTTGGCTTACAAGTAGACTGTACAGATTTCTGTGTCAATCCTATTATAGTTTCATAATGTCAAGTCTACTTCAGATGCCTCCATTTTCAATTTGTATCTCGCATTGTTACTTCAAAATTCACAAGCTAGATGTGGTCAGAGAGGGATGAGGGAACAGCCCCGAAGCACAAATAGATCATCCCTGTCTGAAGAGAATGGTGCGGCTGGGATTAACCGTAGGATCTGGCCGACACTCAGAGGAAAGGCAAGACGGACATACGATCAGACTGCTGCTGGCACAATGGGAATTATCATTGTGCTAGCTGCTGTGGATGGGTGATGGAGCAGTTGTGGGAATGTCCCGAATGTTGTGATGTTGGCTCTTTATTCAACCACGGCTGCTCCCGTAGCTCTCATAGTCTTGTCTGTCCTATAATCTTCTTCTTCGATCCTTCCGTAAGAAAACCTTTGTCAGGAGGCCGATAGCCTTTACGTTATATGTTCGATGGAACAACATCATGGCACACGGGTGATAACTCATAAGTGTTCCGTTCTACTTCTAACCCAAGCCTGAGTCTGAAGAATCTTCTCTTTTCGATTTCAAACTGCGAATGGATTTTTTTTTTACGTGCGCAAGAATACACACGGGCTTCCGATCGTACTACCCAGAGACCAGAGAAAATTACTAGTAGTCCACATGAAAAAATCCCAGAGTTCACAGGGACCTCAACGCGGGACCTCCAGCACTCGAGGCGGTCACCATACCTCGAGACCACTCAGCCCCCGAAAGCTATGAAAGCTATCGTGCAGCCCATATCTTTGTGCGTGTTTCATCACCTTCAGTTTCCTTAACTTCTACGCGTGGTAATCAGTACACATGACTACACTTTCCATGTGGCTTAACGCTGGGTGCGGCCAATCGGGTTTCTGGACGCTAGGCACGGTCACTGTTTTGAGTCGTGGCACATTGTTTGCTTCTGCCAGACGGTGGCCGTTGCATTTTTGCTCCATTTTTTAGACTGAATAGATATAGTTTCTTCGCCCAGCTACAGAGTTGAGTGCATGGCGCGACAGTGAGCTGCAGCTTTCATTTGGAATGTTTTTCTACTGTGACCAACGTGGTGTTGGAATTGTAGATTCAGAAAACGGCGCGTGGCCTCTCGTCGCAATATTGGTGTTGCTCTTATGGGATTAAAACTAATCGCGTTTGCAACTGCTAATCTGTTGGTAACTACTGCTACCGTCGACGATGAACTACATTTTTAATGTCGCACTGTTTGTGTTTGCGCTTTTGATGGCTACCGTATGCTTTTAATGCGTGTGTATACTAGTGCATATTCTGAGACGGCAGTCTGTCAATCTTTCTACAGGGGACTGTGATGAACATTTCGTTGGCACAGGAGTGGAGCAACTATGAGGTGACCCGTTTGCTATAAAGCTGAAACTAAGATTACAAAGATTACCAATTAGCGACTCCACACAAAGAAAACAACGCTAGAGGGAAGCCTTAAATAAAAGTGCTGTCTCCTGAAAATGTGTTCGTGGACGCGTTTGGACTAGTCCTTGTTTAAATGCGTAATAGTAATGTGCTGATTGACCACTAAATATTACTGTGCATCTGAAATTATATGAAATGTAAAAACGAAAAGTTAAAAACTGATCTAAACGTGGTTAGAAGGACCGCTTAGCTCCTCGCGGTTCTTTGGAGTAGGGGTGGGGAGTCTCAGAAGGCTTAAGCTTGCAGGTTTCTGCAACACCAGTAACACAAAACTAGGGACATTACGAGTTCTTGCTCGTTAGGCAGCGCCACCATAGTGAGAACGCAAAAACACGCCACGTGTAGCAGTGATTCACGTACAGCAGTGGCGTACGGTCATGACGTGTGTTGTTCGTTAGACGTGCATGTATGTTAATTTCTGGTGCTGCTAGGGTTAGTGGCCACAGAGTAGGACAGTGTTCTTCAACCCACTGGTGGGCTGCGCAAAC